ACACAACGTTAGATTGAGTTACATTGTGAAATTAATTATTTTCATAAATTGTAATCAAAATTCAAAACAGTTTCACTTTAAATTACAAATATAGAGATAGAAATAAAAATTTAATAACAAATTTTTCTAGGCAAAACTTGGCTGCCTACTTTTTTGGCTTCATTTTACTTATTCTTAATTTTACAAGCTAATCCTTTGTCAATTTTTTCTTATTAATCTTCCATAATATGTAAAAGTAATAACTTCAACTTCAAAATTTGCTCAGAATTAAATAAAAAACATAATTTTTTATTGAAAATTAATATTATTCAAAGTAACTGCTGCGATTCTGACCCTCAGTATCAGAAAAATTCCATATCTTGAAAAAAAAAACGCAGCACACGATGGCATGTTTAATTGATGACTGCCTGAGTCGATCGATTTCTTTTTTGTCCGAGACACTTTTCAATTAAACTAATTAGAGTGGCATTCCAATGGAAACGTTTTTAATTAGCTGATCAAGCGCGCAGTATGTATGGAGAGTAAAAAAACGCCGAACTTGTCACCGAGAAATGAACTCATTCAAAGCGGCCAATATTCTCGACATGCCCATAAAGGGGCGCGATAAAAACGAAATGCGCGTTGTGTTTGACATGAACGGAGCGATAAATATTGATTGCGTCCTGTCCGTGGGCATTAGAAACCACATACATTCAATCTCTGCACCGCTGTGCTGATTACGGATGCATCGTGTGAGCAAAAAAGAGCATTTCCAAAGCTGCCAATCAGCCCCTGTTGACAGCGTGATATATGCGCTCATCACAATTCTGAATCGATTTCAATTTTAAAACAGCGCCGCGTCCTCTCTCCTGCACATGAGCCGCTTTTGATTTCGTTTTCTTTTGACGGCACGACCTTTTTATTCATTCAAAGATCTACAATGTCTCCGGAATAATTTTAATGAAAGGGTTAGGAAACTTTGAAATATTTTGTGTTACGAAATCGCCATAATTTTTGTCACAAACTCTAGAAGATTCTTGCATAGCAAATAATTTTATCAAAAAAATTATTTTACCCCATTGCAGAAATTACTAGAATGAATTCGTGATTTTAAAGTTTCTACAATTTTTGTGTACTGTTTAACAGTGGAGACATCACGTAGCTCTAATTAGTTTCAAATACAAAAAATAAAAATTTATTTTATTAAAAAATATCCATCTAAAGTAAAATATTAGTTTGTATGTTATGCATAAATTTAATCGAATATCTAAAGACCAATATCAATGAAATTAAAGTTTTAAAATCACTTATTACCGCTTTAAATTGACGATTCCGGAGCAGAACAAAAACGTGGTGCGGTTAATTTACAATAATTAATTATTCTGGCAGGCGAACAGAGGTAGCAGCTATTATGTTAGTTTGTGTGCAGCAGGAATGCCCGATAGTGACGTGGTGAAAATTGGCTCACGTGGCGGCGAGAACAAAAAAGCGGCTTCTGGTGTATAATTGTAATTGCGGCGGCGGCGGCCGACCGAGAATCTTATTATCATACTGCATTGTCATCTCTCGCCAGAATATATATAAAATGTTCACGGCACAAAAGCAGAGCGTATAAGAGAAGCTTCGACCGCAATTTATAATATATTATTTATCCCTGTCTACAGCCCAACTGATATTTAATATTCAAATTCGAAACACACTTCTTGTTAATTACGTGTCTTGTGCGCCGAGTAATTGCTCTCTACCTCCAGGTGTTAATTTTCTGCGGTTGTAATTCATGCCCATTTTGCGTGTAAAGACCATTTTGTGACACATTAAAGAGACGCCGACTTAATAAAAAAATAAATGTGTCAAAATTTTCATAATTGAGCAATTTCTCCATCAAACTTTCCTCACTCTCGGATGATGAGGTTCAAAATTTTAACGGCTGCATTATTTTCCTGGGATGTTCCAAATTATACAAGATGCACAAATGGATAAATAATGAGCACTGCTTTTTGGTCCCGAGAATTAGAGTTCCCATGGTGGATATAACAACCATGTATCACATTTACACCTCTCTATTTTTTTTTATCTCTCCTTATAAATGAACGTCAATACTAAATAACGGGCACAAGGGCCGACGCCGTGCTTTTCTCCCGCTGATGAATATTATATATGTGCGCCTTGGCCGTAATTTATCACAACAAGAAATATGCTGATGGTCGGTTTTAATTAGTACCATCGCGCAGCTCCAACTTCTTTTGATATCACACCGCTTCGAATTCAGAAAATTTCATCTCAAAATTGCTCTCCGAATTTCTTTCCAGCTTTCACGAGCAATTTGGAAAGAAGAATGATATATTCGGTGAGAAGTCGTGATGCAGCCAGATTTTTTTTCACTCGTCATTAGGAGGAGAAAAATATTCAGATTAAGAGCAGGACCATTGCTTTTGATTTTGCTATAAATTTTATTGGAAACGGCTTGTTTTATCGGCCGTTTAAATATCGCTATCATTAAATCTACTGATTATGTTAATTTGGCTCATTCCGCAACATAACACTTCATTCCTCCTTCACTAACAAGTGATCAAGATGTGGAAATTTTCCACCAGGGGCCAATGACCTCAAGTTAAAAGTTTTAATCGGATATGTTTTACAACCCCGACATTTACGAAACTAAATTTTCGTGGAAACCCAAAAATAAAGCAGAATTATTTACGAAATTTATGATTTTTAATTATATTATTTTTATTAGAGTACATAAGTTGAATTATTTGCTCATCATATAATAGCGATTGTAATTCCCAATCAATTTAAAATATTTTTTTTTTCAAAATAAATAAACTATTCAAAAATCAAATCAAAGTTAGAAATTTTTGGAAGTTTGTGAAAAATTTGCTGGCTGTTTCATAACATCCTGCTTCAAAAACATACCTTGTGAGAGCCCCATCGACAACTTTTTCTATCCATCGCCATTTATCGCCGTTGATGCGCGAGTTTTAAATTCGTCCCAGCATATGTAATTTTCTCCCAATGATATGAAAAAAAATCTTCTCGTGACTGCTGCTACTTTTGGATAAACATTTTACATGCGAGGGCTAATGTGTTGATTCTACTGAAGCAATTAAACTCACATTAGCTCCTTTTTATTTTTATAGCACACAGACTTGTCTAATCTGCACGTAATGGGGCATTTCTCGAAAATCCTGATTGGGAGGAGGATCAGCCGCAAATTAATCCATTTGTGAGGCAGAGAAGAATTTAATTTTGCACGTCGAAATTATGTTAATTGAGAGCGTTTTTTTTCAAACTGCACTCGTGTGGCTGATGGGAAAGAAAATCTCTTCATTGCGAGGGCATGACGGCGATAATTTATTTTTCAGCTCGCCGAGAATAAAGCTTCCCCCATACCGCGATAATTTGAGATCCTGCAGCACCGCTCTTCCTGCACACACAAAAGTCACACTCCATTTACGAATCTTTTCTGTGGGAGCTCTCGCTAGTGTGTCTTGTAGGCATTATACACACCAACAACTGTTGTTGTTTTCATTATTTAAAAAAGTGTGTGCGCGCCTTCACAAAAGCTGCGCTGGCCAGTTTCGTATGCGTGCATTGTGGCGTGAAAAATTACGTTCTGCCTCTTTGTTTCGAATTAGCCAGCAGCGAGCTGACCACTTTTGTCAACTGCTCAGCATTACATTTCAGATAAAATAAAAAGCATATGACGATATTTATTAAAGTTTTTATAATAAATTTATTTAAAAAAAATTATTAACTGTAATTATTACCAAATTAATTTTGTAAATGAATTTTAAGTTGTCGTTTTGTCATTTAATAAAGGTTTAATTCTTTTGGAACATTTTTATGTAATTAAATATTTATGTTAATATTAAATTTAGTAAAGACAAAAATACGTTGCAAGCATTGCATTTTTTCATTATTATTTCACAATTTAAATTCATATTTATCCAATTTATTATACTTATAAATATTGTTGAAAGAGCCAAAGTGATGCAATGTGAAAATATTTCAACTTACACTTCATTTTCTGTGCATATGGTCTAGCTATATTTTTTACATAAAATAATTCATAATAATAAAATTATCAACAAAAATTAAAATTCAATTTCTACTTCTTTTGTGGAGGGCACAGAAGCGCAAAACGGAACTTGTGGCGCGTAAATAAAATTTCCTCCTTGATGCGTCAGGTGCAAACAAACACCTGTCTCTTCAAAAAGTCTCTCGCAGTCGGAATCGTCTCTCTTCTTGCAGCAGGCGCGCATCATTAACCCTTTGTTTTTTATTCTGAACACTCAATAGCCTGTAATAATTTGTGGCGGGCTTTTTCCCCTATTATACCGAGTGCCACCTAGGAGCTTTGATAATTCCGAGTAAGGAAATCGAGCGGTGGAGACTATGTATTTTACTTGCGCACTTCAAACGCGCAAATTTAAAAGTGGCCTGCCGAATGAAATAGGATCCAGCCGAGCAAAACACACAACACTTGACACCGTTTGCTTCACGGCTAAGCAGCGTCGGATTATTTGACGGCACGTGCACATTTCCACACTCATAATCAAAGTCTAAATCTACTTTTAAATTGTGGTAAAAAATTTACATTGTTTTTAAAACTAGGAATAAATATGTCCATTAAACGTTCATATTTATTTAAGAGCAAGCTACGCAATTTTAACAAAATAAATCGACTTCTGAACAATTTTTATTTCCAAAACGTAAATTTTTCAGCCCAATATTTACTCTTTTTGAGCCAATTTTGGATAATGCATAGATTTTTCTATCCAAGATATTATAAATAGGAATATATTAACAGCCTCACATCTTTAATAAAATTATAAATTTAAGTCTTATTATCTTAAAATAAACTATTTTCAGTAGCCCGAATCAAGAAAAACAAAAAAAAAGCATCTTTCTCAATCTAAAATAATTTTTTCCCTAGACTTCCTGCCTTAGTCGCTAAGGAAGGCCTGCGGATGGCGAGCAGGAAACTAAAACTAAAAACGCAATCATTCGGTACTCACCAAAAAGACCATGAAACGGCGCTGGTCAGCTGTCCAGTCGGGAACGAGCGGAGCTGTGGGTCAGAACGGCACAGGTCGAGTCAGGTCACAGGGGGCAGTGGGGGTGGGTGGGGGCGGCACTGCGAAACGCACTGGCGTTCGAGAGAGAGAGAGAGAGTCCGGCACAGAGAGCGGTGTTCGAGGCGTAGAAGGCGAACCTGCACTGATCGAGCCGAACCGCCGCCGCCGCGAGTAACTCGCGCTTCCGCCACACCGCGGACCGGCGGAGAGGGGCGCGGGAGGAGTGGCCGCTCCCGCCCGTACCTGCAGCCGCAACCTCGCCAGGTCGAACCCTGCCGATGGGAAAATCTTCAGGTACGCGAGTAGATCATTCTGGAAAAAAATTGTGCAAAAAAGTTATTTTGAGCTCCATATTTTTTTTTTGTAAAATTATAATTTAGCAGTGATTTATGTTGCAGGACAAATAGTATTTAAAAATTGTTTAAAAAATGTTTAGTATTTTTTTGATATTCCTATTTCCTGGCAAGGGAAATTTTACAATTAATTCTAACAGTTGGAAAATGAAAGAATACTTTTAATCAGAAAGAAATTAATTGAGAACATTAAAAAATAATTAAGATATCAATTATACTTTTTTGGTATCCATCTTAAATTCAAATTTAGCAAATAGTTTTTTGTAAGTTTCCTTTTTTTGCGTAGTAGAATTTCACGATTTTTCATTTTAATTGTTGCATTACTAGGTAAATATTCCTAATTATATCTCATTGTCAGCTATGTTTAAGGTGCTGCTGTTTTTCTGTATTGTTGAAGTTTGCAATGTTCAAATTAATTGTAAAAAGAAATTTAATTCTTGGTGAAAATCGGCTTATCTCGATTGGGTTTTGCGAGTTGTAGATAGATTTTAAATTCAAATCCATCCTTGAATGTAAAATTCTACCACACACAAAAATTAATTATTCGCTGGGAGAATTGTGATATTTAATTAATATTATATTATTATTGGTATATATTATATAGTTAGTTGAATTTTTTTAATATCATGAATTCATTTTTAAAATAATTAATTTTACGGGTTTAACGTGTTTAATTTTATTGAGTGACTTTCATCGGAATTTTGCGAGAATATTCTTCTTAAAAATAAAAGCAAAACGGGAAAATTTTAATCAAAACGCAAACAAGAAACAAAATAAAAAAAAAAGCACAAACGTACAGTTAACAAATCCAAAAAGATTCATATTAAATTAGAATGCAGTTCTCGTAACTTGTATAGAAACCAATAAAACGATATAAATTTAACTTTATATGCGGCTAGCCAAAGTTTATTTGCCTTTAACCCAGAAAAGGCTTTGAGACAAATTGCCGCGATATAGAAACATAAAAATGCCATGTAAACGTCTCGAAAAGCGAACTGTTTTTCACGTTGTGTGTGTTTGTGTAGGTACACTTTAAAAGTCGGAGCATTTATGGAGAAAACGCTCTGGACCTGCAACAAATTTGGCAAAAACATTGCGGCAGCACATAAAAGTTTTTATTGTCCATTTGGTTTGGGAGCAGCATCGAATAGAGATAAAGAGCGTCGGCATGAATCGCTCCCACACATTAATGTCAAAAATCCGCTCGGCAGCAGCGCGCGCGAGAGAGCAGCACACAAAGGCGAAAAGCAAACGCGGGCAATAAAACGCTGAATATTATTACTGGAACACGCGGATCGTGTCTTCGGAGCCAACGGGCGGAGTGACCGACCGACCGACCCGCCGCTCTATCTCTCTATGCGCGCGTGCTAATTTCCTCCCGAGGCACCGTAGACAAAAAATTTGGAAGACTTGAAAAGGCTTTTAGCTCTATGGATGGGCAAAATAGAAGGGGGTGATAAGAGCATGGGCGAATAGACAAGCTGGAGATAAATTAATATAAAACATTATTTTATTACTGAAACGGATTAATAAAAGTAAATCAGAACGCACACGTTTCCTTCTTCATTTTTTTCACTTCACGCTGTTTTTTTACAAAGATATTTTTCATTTCGTAAAAAAGTCTATTGACGATAAAAAAAAAATACCTAATAGATTGGAAACATATACAAAAGAACTAATTTAACCGTGACCTATTTTAATTGAATAAAATAATAAATGAATATTTTTATACAAATTTTAATCTATTCCTAAAATTTATACTGAAAATATAAAGTAATTTAATTTCTTTAAGCGAATGAAACTATCAATTATAAAATTTCACGCGCTTTGTAAGTTTATATCGGTATATATTATTAAGCATAACCAAAACGCAATTTTACATGATTCACTCCCTGATTCTCTCTCCAATAAAGGAAAAATTGTGATGACGAAACCAAGGAATTTTTCTTCGCCGCTGCATCTTTCTCGGCTTTGTGAATAAAAAAGACCAAACGAGCATCAGCAGATGGATGTAAATTTTCCAAACACAATCAAACACTGCAGAGAGGCATCCGAGGAGGAGAGAACATAATTTACATCCGCGTGAATAAATCAGCCGAGCGAGAGCGTTCATTGAAAATTCATCTCGTCGCTTCTTCTATGCTATTTTATGCGTCCCTCTGCACATATGCGAGATGGGCATCAACAACTGTTTATGGCAAAATAATAAAATCACAGTAATTGCACCGCTCGCCGCCTCTTTGTATATATTTTCCCTGTGCGCGACTCTCGAGGGTCATCATCATGCAGCACCGTAGCTAAGGCAGATCCACAACAACAAAAGAGAAAAAAAGACTCGCGCGTACAGTTATTTTGCATATTGACCCCTCGGGTGACACTTATTGGCTAATTATCCGGCCAAAGAGCACATCTCTCGCCGGCGCTGGCCACTCGAGGAATATAAATGCACATCACAGCAAGATTTTATTATTGTGCTGCTTTCTAGAAAATTGCACATGTGGCCGAGACAAAATATAATCGGTGATAACTCTCTACTTTTCAAACAGTAATAAATATAAGCACAGTTTACTTTTCAGATAACATTATTTTTTTATAGAAAACAAGACGTTGCTTCAGCTAATCTATAGTGTTTATTTATTGAAAGAAAAGTGATGAAAATCAGCTTTGTTTTTATTTAGTTTTCATCAAAACCGGAGGCTGTACGACTCACTCAAACTTTCATATAAAAAAAAAATGCAAAATTGCAATTTCTACAAAAGTCTCAATTTATAAATAATTTTATTTTCTTCAAAACAGAGAACCTATTTTTTTAAATAAATTTTTTAATAATATTTATGCGTTGAGGTTTGAGTAATTTGATAATTTATGAAAGCTATTTCCATGTGAAAGAAATGAAATTTTTATAAAATCAGAACTCATACTAAAAATTTTGACGTGTAAGAATACATCAGGAAATTTATGCTTTGTATATAGGTTAATTAAAAATGGCTTCAAGGCCATAAATCAAAATAGGGGATTTTAGGTAATTTATAATAAACTGATTTTAAAAATTAACTCTGAAGATGTGTGAAGATATTTTACACTAAAATTTTATAGCTACATTATATAAACAAATAAATTTTTTTAATTTTTTTCCGTTACATAACATAAAATTGGCAACACGCATGCATATAAAAATATTCAAGTTACGTAAATTAATTAAAAATAAACTCATTACTTTAAGTGTTTCAATTAATTCCTAACCTGTCCTATATATGATGTCCGTATTGGGTTAGGTGTTTAAATTTTAAATTATTCCACTTTGCATTTCCTCCTCTAGCTTGGTTGTTTTAGGCAACCTGGCATACACCACTGTAAAGCAGGTTGCTTTTCGGTTTAACTGCCTTGAATGATAATTTTCAAATAAATTGCATATTTGATGATATTTTATTAAATCTACAAACGTAAAAAATTATTAAATTTTTTAAATAGTTTCGACTTGAAATGTCGATTCTTGTGCAAAAAGTTAGGTTACCAAATTTTACTACCGTTGTGACGTCAATGCACGTACTTAAAAGCAGCAATGAATAGCAAAGTAAAAATCGTCTCTACTTAAAACAAGCGCGTGATGCGTGGCGCATTTTCACCGCCATAAATCTCCACTTTTGGCCGTCGAAGCAGACATCAAAGGTCAGAGACTAGCAAAGTCGCAAAAAAACCGACTGTCAAAAGGAGGCTGCGCGCGAGATGATTTTGGTTTAGAAAGTGGAGGCGAATTAGGAGCGCATACGGCACAGCAGCTTTCGTGCAGCACCTGTTGCCTACATTTGCTCCAGTGCAGCAACTGACTCGGTCTAACAGACTCAAAGACCGAAATGCATCTCACGCGGCGGGAGAAAAGCAGCTCGGTGCGCCGCGCATCTTCAGGTCAGGTGGCAAGCATTAAAGGTCAAAATCATGTTACACTCCTCTCTGGTCTGCTCCTGCATTTCAAACAGGTAACACAAGTTCGGCCAGAAAATGAATAATAAATTTGTTTACCATCACGATTCGTCAGACTGAGAGAAACAACTCGGCGCGCAGCTTGAGATTATTTCCTTTTCTCCTCCCCCTTTCTAAACTTGAATACAAAAATTTAGCCATACCAGGTCAGTCAAATCTGATCTTGAAATTTCGTCTGTACGTTTTGGTGTTATTTAATCTAAAATAAATTTATTATTATTATTAAATAACATCAAATTTGCCTACTGCACGTTAACTGCACATGACAATGTTTTATTTCTTAAAATTTTTTTTTAAGTAATTCGTCGGAAAGTAAAAAAGAGTTGATCAGTGAATATTAAATAACGAGCAACGATTCAATAATTTCTTAAGAAATTGAAAATATAATTCTTGCAGATGCGTTGTTATAATAATCCTTTTAGTTTCAAGAATTTTGTTTATTATGGGTTCAGACTTTGTCCGAGGGAACTTTTACATAATAATTATTAACCAAATAAAACCTGACGTACGATTGCAAATGCGAAATAGAATAATTATTTTTGTGAATTTAATTTTTTCCTAAAAAAAAAGATAAAATAATTATTTCTAAATAAGAGTTTAAATAGATGAAATATATCTGTAAAAATGGATATAATAACGCGTTACTGATAAACAAACCTTTAATTATTGATTTTTACACCTTTTCCTTGAGGCTTTCTATAAAACGTGTAATAGCACGTATTGAATAAATTCAATAAAAGTCTCATTATCCGTAATTATTGGCTCCAGATAAAACTTGTATCTCGTGCTGTCGGAGTTATA